AAACAGTATGGATATCAGTAGGAAGTGATCGCCACCAAATACCTGTAGGACGCAGGTCCCTGGTGTTGAACTCACAACCTTGCGATATGTGACCTGGGAGTGCTACCACTGCACTATTGACCCACAGGTCTTATTTTAGTAACTATTGTTAAGCTTGTTAGCTATTTTGATATAAATAGAACTCATATTATTGTTTATTATTTGATATCAGTGTTATTTACTTGTTTTAACTGATTCTTTACCTATATTTAGATGTTTTGATAGTATGTTGATATCAATTACTTGATGTTGTTTTGTTATAATCATTGATCTTACCAATATAGTAGTTTTATTATATTGTTGTAATAGATTTTCGTTGAACGTGTTTTAAAAGTTAACCCTTATATATATATGTATTTGTATTATTTATTAATGTGTTTTGATATTGAGGAATTAAAGATCTATACATTAAGCTATTTAGACCTTGAAAAGCTTTGATATTCTTCTGAACCTTGGAAAATTTGAGATCATTTGATTTATTAAACTAATCTATTTCTTTCCAAGGTTCTTTATAGTATCAAGAAAGGTATTAATCTGTATTAGACTAGCTATAAACTTTGTAAAATTGATATTGGCTCCTCCTTTTTTGACTGTAAATCAGTTACTATTTGTTTGTTTCCTTTTCTATAAGTTAAAAAGATAAAGCAACTGATAGGAATAAAAATCTTTAACTATTAACTAGTTTGAAGTGTCTAGTATAGTCTTATATTTTATTGAATTGTTTTTAGATTTGTATTATTGTTGCAAGAGTATGTTTCTTATATTTGATATTGTCACATTTCTTTGAGTTATTTTCTAAAAAGTAAATTATGAGAATCGGGAAATTTTTGAAAAAAAGTTTTTACTTCTAAAATATATTTTTATAAATTATACAACTTATTATTTGAACAATTACTAATTAAAATTATACTATTTGATAATTGAATTATTATTAAATTTGATTAAATTTATTAATAAAATATATTTAAAATCTTTTGATTATTACTATTCAATATATAAAATATTAATAATATTTTAGTAAAAAAAAATTGAAAAATTAAATTTAGCAATAAATTAGTATCAAATTTAATATATTACTAAAGATGGTTTTCTATAAAATGAGATAAAAATAAAAGTCAAATATCTTTTATTGAAAAAAATTAAAAATTTTAAATTAATAATTATAAAAAACTATCTATAATAGTTTTTTATTATTTAAATTATTAATTTATAGTATTTTTCAAATTTTATTTTTATTAAGATAAAGTGTTATATATTTTATTTCTCAAAAAAGAATGCAAAAAATTATAAATTTAATATATTGTGATAAAATTATTTATATAATTAATTTTAAAATTTGTATTAAAATTTAATAGACATTTAGAAAGTCAATAATTTTTAACAAATTTTTTTTTTTTTAAAAAAAAATTTCAATTTAATTCTTTTAGAACTTGTTTTAATTAATTTTATCTTATCAAATTTTGTTTTTTATATAATATCATATTATAATAATATAAATTATTATGATGTTGTCTATAAGTTGATTAAAATATTTATATTTATTTAAATATTTTAACAAATTAACTATAAGTATAATAATTATAATTAATATTATTTCTTCTTTTAATGAAATTTTTTAGATCAATCTTATTTTCTTTAGATGAATAAACCTTTGTTTCTTTAATTATATCCATCAATTTATTTTGATATTTGACAACTTTTCTAGATCTTCATTCAATAAGGGATTGTGCATTTTTTTATTCTTCATTCCCTTTAAATTGATTTGTCTATCGCGCGACTTTAAGCAACATCCGAATTTTAACATAAATATTTTTTAATTAAACTGCGTATGTGATATCACAAAAATCAAATAAGCCAATCAAATTTCGCTTAGCCGCGTGTTACACTATAATTGTGAAGTTTGATTTGCGGTACAAACAACATAAAGATGATCGGTCAGCAGCTTTTTGTTTCTGCCATACGTAATCGGCTGAATTGTCTCGCGAAAGTACAACTGTAAATTACCGTGTTTTCACATCTACTTTGGATATCTGTTGTCTTTTGGTATGTAGATGCAGATCTTCTGTGCAAACAATACAGGAATTTTTTGCGAGGGACCGTTTAATTAAAGTGTGAAATAAATATCAGGCTATCTATCGTGTAATGTTTCGTCAACTCGCTCAGAAACTTAAAGCGCGTCTGTCAGGAAACTGGGCCGTTCTCAGTAACGCCGAAAGTGGAATTGATTCCTTACGCCAGTATGCCACCGCCACGAAAAGAGTGTCGGCGAAAAAGGCGAAAAGCGAATCAGAGAAGAAAAAGGCACAGAAGCAACCAGGTAGCCAGTTATATTACGAATGAAGGCTCCTTTGGAACGCGTGGCTTTTGGCACTTAATAATCTACCCTCTTAATCCAGTGATTCCCGCACTTGAATTTCCAAAAAGACCGGCTAGCCCTTACAACTTATTCTTTACAGAGTATTACAAGAAAAAAAAAGATGACAGCCCTAATTTAAAGTTAACTGAAATTGCCAAATTGGGCGGTGATAATTGGAGAAATATGCCAGACGACCAGAAGAATGTAAGCTGGCAAATCAACAAAATTGTCCATGATGTTCTGATGAACACATCATAGATTTAATTTTAGGTTTACAACGAAAGATACAAAAAAGCCAAATCTCAATATGATGAAGAATATCAGAAGTGGAGGGAATCTCTGTCACCCAAGGTTATTGCATTGGAAAACAAACGTCGTAGAATTGAGAAAGCAGCAGGGAGGAGTAATCAGAGACCACTAAAGGATCCAAAAGCACCCAAAAGGCCGAGATCTTCCTATTTGCAATTTGCGATGGAGAATATGGCCGAATACAAAGATCTTAAAGTTACCGAACGTTCTAAGGCGATTGCTCAAAAATGGAAGGCGTTAAGCCCGGATGAGAGGAAGGTAAAGAAAAAAAAGCCCATCAAGAAGCAAATAAATCATGCCTAATTGATGATTGATTAATCTTTTTTAAGCCATTCGAGGAACTTTACGTCAAAGAGAAGGAACGCTATAACCAAGAATTGGAGAATTATAAAAAAATTGCATAAGTAAAGATGGGGTTGTGAAAGTAATCTTGCCTAGCTTTTTTTTTTTGATCAGGAATGTTTCGAAGAAACATCTAAAAAACGGGTGAATAAATAAAGAATTACCAAATTTTCCTATGATTTTCAAAATGTTTATTGTTATGGTGCACACAAGCATTTTCCCACGCGGCACGGCCGTGTAACCGTTACAGAAATCATAAACTGCCATATTTGTAAAAGAATTAAATATTATCGTTACGCTTGAAACAGGTATGCAAATATGCACGTACAATTTATACATGTTAAGCTCTCTATTTTGGTTAGTTAATGCTAACCTGTTTGCAGAATTGATATTAATCGGAAATTTATTTTAATTGAGAGAAAGTACGTATTTATGTACAAATAAATCCCTTTATTACACTAAAAATATAACACCCGTGAAAATTGGAATGACCTTCACAAATAAATATGATTTACATGCTGAGTAGAATAATTGAAATTCCTCTTAAAATTCATAGCTCAGCAGTGACAAGTGATGCCCTCCAAACTTGCGGTACCAAATGATTAGTTAATTAAGCCTCAATGGCCTGAAGCCAAGGGTGGCAGTGATATGTGCATGAATGTCGTCCTCATTTGGTTCCTTGGTGCCTTCCCACCCGCAACCGTGGTTGCCGTGTGACAAACAGATGTAAATTTCCTTCGATTGACCTTGTTCTGTATCCTCCTTGACATAATGAACCGAATGAGGAGTGTGACATTGAGGACAAGTGAATGAATCGGTATTTAAAGGAATGATTATATCATGACTGTTCAGCAAGGGAAAGGCTTTCATTGGTTCCAAAAATGGAGAACCGTTGGTTGCTGAAGATTTGTCTTGATCACCAACTATGATATTCTTCTTTGCTGATGAATTTTCAATTGGTTCCTCGATCGCTGTCACCTTAACTATTTGCTCGTCTTTAGCCATCATCCCATTTTGGTTTGAATTCGGAATCGTGACCGCTGCAATAATACAAACGATAAGAAAGAGTAACACCACATGATCACATAATGAAAATGAATTCTTACAGACTGATCTCTTTTTATTTGTTACTTTACTTTTTCCCGATGGAATAGGAAGAACCTATATATAATGAACAGAAATGAACTCAAATTGTTTTGTAATGATATCTATTGTAAATATCGATGATAACGAGTGTTCACTTACCGCAGCCTTGAACTTTCTAAGTAATCTTCTAAATCCTTTAATCTCCTTCTCTATCGTGATGCTTTCAATCTGCGGAGTTTCCATTTTGCACTAATGAAAAAAAAGAAAAGAAAAGGATAGGATGAGATCCTGTATGACATGAGATTACATATGTAGTAAAATCGCCATAATAAAGGTTTAAATAATTACCTGTTGGAAAATAAATAGGGTATTTATTTATTTTATTTTTATTTTTTCAAGGAAAAACGGTAAGGTACAGCGGATCAGAAAGGTGATGGGAATAAGAACATTGAGGAAAGCCTCGTCCTTTTATATTTAAATTAAAGTATGCACAACCTGAGGCTAAGGAATACCATTACTATTCTAGTTTATGTCAAAACATTACAGAATAGTTACACAGAAGTCTCGTCCACTAATTTACAAATCCAGCTCTTTATCTCCTAGTCCAAATATTGAGCCCATGGAGATCACTAAAGGATTAACTCATCGATTAACTCATCGCCTCATTTCTTTACCTGATCATCTATGAATTTCTTTTAAGGTGAAAGATCAGTGGGAAATTTTTCAAAATGTTATCGTTTCTTCCTGTCTCCCGCGAATTTCATTATTCAAAAATGCATATCATTGCATGGTTTAATGTTGTATTTATGTGGTATGATACGGACAGGCCATTTTTTGATTCCGCCATTGGTGTCAATAAATTACTAATTTAGTGTTTCATGATCAGATGACCAACGTTTTACCAAGGAACAGATCGAAATTAAAAGAGCATAACGTCTTTGAATATTTGGAAGATGGACGAAAGCGTAAGAATCGGTAAAAAAACCATCGTGGTCACGTGTCAATTAACGAACGAAAAATGGCCGGGGCGAAAGTGTCACCTTACTAGCATGGATTTGGTCTGAATAAATGTACCGACATATGAATAAACGCACGACTTTGCCACATGAGTTGACGCCTCTAATCAGATTCTAAATTCATTATATTATGGGTCATTATTTTAACAAGGTTAAATAATAAATCCAGAATCGTGTCTTGATATAACGGAAACATGTTATATAATTATATAAATGATCGTAGTATTAAATTTTAAAAATAAGTACATTCTTCTTTCCGCAATGACTTGATGGACCGGTTTTCCCTACCAACTCGAGGTTACATGTCATTTATATGATATCGAATAATTGGTTAGCTCTAGATTTCTTTGTAGTAATCGATTAAACTGACCAATCCGAATTTATCGTGTGACAACAAAGAATGCTCGTTTTCACGCAGAATTTTCTTTCTCGGTTATCCTACTTCAAAACATTGCAATTAATAATACATTTGCTTATTATTATTATTATTTATTTGATTAAAAAAGAAAAAAGGTATATTCATTTAATTCAATCTTTTCTTGATTAATAATTAATTTTGAAACTCGATTAAATCAAAAAAAAAAAATTTTTTTTTGCAATCGCCTATTAAGCCAGTTTGGTAGCATGCATTTACAATTCTTTTTGTCAACAAACTTATTTTAAGTTACAATCTCTAAGTTTGATTATAAAAACAATATAATATTCCTTGGATATTTTAGATAAATACCTTTTTAGTAACTCACTTTATTATTAAAGTTAATTGTTTTTAATGATGCTAATAAAATAAAAATTGCATTAAAAGAAAATATACACACATATATATATACTATATATATAATTATAAAATTATAGGTATATACTGTATATATATATATATAAAAGAAGTAAAGTTCTAATACCCTTTAAAAGATTCAATACTTTTAAAATTTCTTTTAAATAAATTAATATTTTTATTTTTTCTTTTTAATTATTTGAAAATTTTATATATTTTTAATCTTAATTTGTTAAATTTAATTAAATTTATTAATAAAAGCATTGATAAATTCTTTTTAATTATTGCTACAAAAAATTCAAAATTATACCTAATAAAAAATTTGTATACTATAGTAAAAATTTTGATAAAAATTTATATACTATTACAAAAAATTTGACAAAAATTATAAATTTAATATAAATATTAATTATTTTTTTTTTTAACCCATGAACTGTGTATTTATTAATTTAGTATAAATAGTAATTTATTATTTTTTTTTTTTTTGAGTACTCATAGTCAAGCTAGATTGTCAGTTTATTAATCAATTGAAAACATTAGTATATTTTTATTCAAACAGTATAATATATACTATAGTCAAACTATTATTCTAATTTAACTAACTTGTCATAAACATAAAAGCTTCTAAGTTTAGCCTTGAGAACAATATTTTGCTTCACAGTATCTATAGGTAAAATCCTTTTAGTCCACTATATTATTGTTAGTAGATTATCATTGCTATATATTTTATTAAGTCACTGAAATACAGAAAACCACAAAAGGATAGATTAAAAAAGAGAAAAGAGAATATCTAAAAATGTTTAAATAGATAATAAGAAAATAAAAATTTAAAAATTTAAAAAAAAGATTTCCAGTTTCCTCTAAAGACTTACTTCTCAAGATCTTTTCTCAATAAGAAACATCTAATTGAGATATCCTTTTTTTTCCTGACTATCTTAGAAACTTATCTATTTTTGATCTTGATTTCCTTCTTATATACTATCTAAAGAGATTTATCACCTAATAATAATCTTTACTTCCAGGATATACTTAGTCCCAACTTTTTTTGGGTAATAATTTTTTATCCACTTGTTATAAAAAGATAATTTATAATGGATCTCAGGTTCTTATGTGACCTAATAGGAACTGGGTTATATTGTTTTAATATGATATCTTTTAGCAACTACACTTGACTAAAAAAATTTTACTGATATACATCTTTATTATCCAAAAAGTTAGATTCCCCAATAATTCTTTTGCCTTGTAATGGTGAAAGAGTTTTGAAAGAGATGGGAATTTTTGTCAATTATGATATTCTTCAATACTTCTAGAGAAATATATTCTCAACTGTAACCAAAAAGTTGAAGCTTAGCCTAGACTAGAGATTATTGTCTAATTGAGATAAAAGAAAGACCTTAATTTTGAACTTTGCCTAATTAGGATGATAAGAGAAAAGATCTCAGCTTGAACAAATAGTAACTTTTTCATCACCAAGGAACTTATTGCTCATATCTTATTGATCTTATGAAACTTGATTTGTAGGTTAACCCAATTGAAGGAATAGGATTGATACGAGACACCAATCAATTTTTTCAATTACCAATAATGTTATCAGAATATGTGAGATAACCAGTAGGAGCTTGTTTATATTTAGTTACTAATATGTTTCATATCAATCAATCAAATAACAGGTAACATTGTGCTATCAGAAATTCAGAATTAAATTGAGATAGACAAAATTCTTTAGAAAAATCATGAAAAATAGTATATACTTTAAGAAGAAACAGAACAGCATAAAAAGATAGATAATAAGTCTTTTACTGATAAAATCTTTATTTTCTATTATTTTTAGCTTTGTAAAGGGACACTCCCCTTATTAGTCCTTTTACTTTCTAGAATCTTCTTATCCTTAGTAAAGAAAATACATACTTGAGTCTTTTTAGGTTACTAGAAACTCAAGTTTTTATTCAAAAAAGTTCATAGATAAGTAAGAGAAGGTAGAAGAGATACATGAAAACAAGTTTCAAGTTATTTTAATGAAAGTATAAAAACTTTATTAGCAAGAAAGTATAAAACTTCTTGCAAACATCTTATTTATGTATAGTTAGAGGATCAGTGAAAAGAGTTTCTAAATTTATATTATATATATATTTTTTTAAGTATCCATAGCTAGGCTAGATTGTCAGTTTATTAATCAATTGAAAACATAAGTATATTTTTATTTGAGCAGTATGATATATACTACTGCTAAACTATTATTCTAATCTAACTGACTTGTTTTAAGTATAAAAGTCTCTAAGTTCAGTCTTGGAACAATATTTTGCTTCGCAGTATCTTTGGGTAAAAACCCTCCTGGTCTATTATATCATTGCCAGCAGGTTGTCACTGCTGTATGTTATACCAAGCCATTGGAATACAGGAAACTATAAAAGAATAGGTTGAAAAAAGGGAGGGGAATATCTAAAAATATCTAAATAGATAACAAGAAAATGAAAGAATAAAAATTGAAAAAAATATTTTTAGCTTTCTTCAAAAATCTACTTCTCAAGATCTCTTCTCAATAAGAAATGTCTGATTGGGATATCCTTTTTTTTTCTGACTATATGAGGAACTTATCTATTCTTAATCTTGATTTCCTTTTTGTGTACCATTTGAGGAGATTTATTACTTAGTGGGTGCCTTTACTTCCAAGACACACTTAGTCCCTACCTTCTTTAGACAGTGATTTTTTATCCACCTATAGTAAACAGATGACTTATAATGGATCTCAGGTTCTTATGTAATTTAGTAAGGACTAGATCATGTTGTTTCAGTGTGATACCTTCCAGCAGCCATGACTAATTAAAGGAATTTTAATGGTATACATCTTCTATTACTCAAAAGGCCAGATTTCTTAATAATCCTTTTGCCTTATAATGGTGAGAGGTTTCAAAAGCAGTGGGGATTCTCGTCAATTGCGATATCCTTCAACAACTTCTGGAAAAATGCATTCTCAACTATAACCAAAGAATTGGAGCTTAGCATAAACTAGAGATCATTCGGTCTTATTGTCTGACTGGGATAAGAGAGAGACCTTGGTCTTGAACTTTGCCTAACCAGAATAATAGGAAAGAAAGATCTCAGCTTGAACAAATAGTAACTTTTTCACTATCTAGGAACTTGTTGCTTGTATCTTATTGGTCTTATAGTACTTGATTTATAGGTTAATTCAATTGGAGGAGTGGGATGGACACGGGGTACCAATTAACTCTTTCTGTAACCAATAATGTTATTAGAACATATGAGGTGACTAATAGGAGCTTGTTTATATTCTGTTACTAACGTGTTTCATATCAACCAATTAGATACTAGGTGATATTGTGCTATCAAAAATTCAGGGTCAAACTGAAGTAAGCAAAATCTCTCCAGAAAACTATGAAAAACAGTTGACATTTTAAGAGGATATAAGATTGTATGTAAGAAGGGAGATAATAAGTCTTCCCCTATCAATAGAACCTCTATTGCTTGTTGCTTTTAGCTCTATAAGATGACACACCACTTGTCAGTCCTTTTACTTCCTAAAACCTTCTTACCCTTAGTAGAAGAAGTGTGTACTTGAGTCTTTTCAAGCCACTAAAGGCTCAAGTTTTTATTCAAAGGAGTTTATAAACAAGTAAGAAAGGGTAGGAGAGATACAGGAAGACAAGCTTCAAATTGTTTTAATGAAAGTATAAAGACTTTATTAACAAAAAAATATAGAACTTCTTGTGAACATCTTTTTTGTGTGTGGTTAGAGAATTAGTAGAAAGAGTTTTTTATCACTATAATTCAGTTTCTAAATTTATATTTTATTCTTTTTATATTTTATATATATACTATATATTTTTTTAATTTACAACTATATCATATAATCTAATATTTATTAAAAAGTTATATAACTATTTACAATATTACAAATTTTTCATATAATAACTAACTCCTTATTATATTGAAATTTATAGTTTTTTATATTTCCACAACTTAATAAAATATATAATAAGACCTGTAAATCAATAGTACAGTAATAATACTTCCAGTTACAATAATAAGATCTATAGTTCAATATCACTTAAGAACCAAAAATTGAAATTATCCTTTTGATCAGGTTTACTGATTATCCTATAAAAGTCATATCCAATCATTCAGAACCAGTCTAAAACAAGTTAGATTGTATTAAGATGGAACTTCTAGTCTTCCATCAATTAAAGACTAAAACTTAAGGTTATACTATTAGAAAGATTACATGAAATAAGACTTTTAGTCTAGCTCCCATAAAAATACTCTAGCCTACTCTACCCTCAGCCTTTAGAATCCCCACTCTCTTAGCTCAGTATATCCCAATCTGATGCTCCGCTTAATTAAAAATTAGTTAATAGGAACTGATCCAATGTTACAGATAGTGATAAAGAAGATAACATGCTCCCTTCTGAGGTCTGAATGAATAATGTCTTGAAATATTGAAGGGTATTTACATCCTGTCAAATATCTACAAAAAAGGACTAGTTTAATAAATTATAAAAAGTTATTTTAGCTTCATACTAACTAGCCTAGTATTATCATTTATAACTATATATTAATCATCTGACCACTAGCTAGATGTACCCACTTTTAAAGTGATAGTAGGTCTAGCTAATATTTCCACGATAGGTTAACATTAATCTGCATATATAGAGATGTTTGATATAATAACAATAGAATTAGATTGTCAAATAAAATCTTACATTTAATACCAATTGTAATTTAAACATAAAAAAAAATAAAAATATATATATAATAATAATTTTTTTTTTATTTACCATTAGGCTAATATGGCTTATCTTTATTGTATATTTAAAAAAATTTTATACAATTTAAAAGATTTTCATATAACAACTTATCTGTCCTAGAAGTTTAACTTCTCTAAATACAACTTAGAGAATGGTATTTTGCTCTTTTATAACTTGGATTATCCTTTAACTATTAAGTTTATTGCTTACAGATTATTACTATAAATTATTCAAAATTCTAAATAGCAAATTAAATATTTAACCACTTTTTCTTTTACTATTCATCTTTTAATAATCTCCTCAATGTTTTTATTTTTGAATTGTTCTTTCAATAAGATCTCTTCTTATAGAGAACTAGCCTCTTTCTTTGGATTTTTTGTGTTATTATATTTTTTCTTCAGAATTTGGTATCATTTAGATTTTCTATCAATATCCAAAGTCCTTTTCCACTCAATTACTACTTTATAACAGTCATTCCAGATCTTCTTTTTAAAATTTTTTCATATTTGTTGATGCAATTTTCCTATGGCTTTCTTTGTAATAAATGGCTTTACCTTGAAATATAGTTTGAGAAATCTTCAATATCTCTTATTTTATTTTATATATACAGTATATTCATATATTATTTTAAAAAGACTCTGTTTCTATTGCTATATCTTATTAATTC